GCCTAGGCTGTATAGGCAAATGCAATTGTTGCTTGCAGCTACAGCTCACACTGGACGACGCAACCGCAGGGTTTAAAAGTTCACGGCTCACGATGTTTGTTTTTCTCACACTGTGTGACCCAATGTTCTGATGCGATCTACTTGCTCACACCATACGTCTGAAAACCACGTCAGACTGAGAAGGCGCTACTCGGGCTCGTCTATCTGGAAGCCAAACGAGTAGAAGAGGAATATAAAGCTCACTAGAGTGAAATGCGCTACTACTACTACTACGGTCTGTTAATTTTAGAGAAAGAACTCTATTTCCCTCATTGCCCCCCCGCCATGCTTCTGTGTTTTCACCTGAGAGGAAGAAGAAGAATCCTTGTTTGCGCACTGAGCGATTTGCCCACGACCACCTTACGACGGCCGACTGAATTTCAAACATGTTTCCTTTTCACCTGACCTCACGATTCCGGATGGGGCGGTAATGAAGAGGCTGATTGCCGCTCGTTACCCCCTGTACACCAGACGATGCACAATCAGGATTTATTTATTCATTTGAATCTGTTTTTATTGTTTCTCAAAAAATAAAAGCAAAAATTCCGTCAAAGACTATTCCATTTTTTTTATCTGAGCATGTAAACTAGCATTGCAATTTAGAGTGATGCATGTGTGGTCACTATGGAGTCAGAAAGGGGTCGAAAACTTCTTAATCTTAGTTCAAACTGAGAAAATAAAAGTTTAAAATGAAAAAAAGAATAGTATAATGATATTTAAAGTCAATTTCTTATGTTATAATGTTAGAAAAAAAGAAAAAGTGTAATTAAAATACCAAACTGAATTATGAGTTTTTTCAAGCTGAGGGGAAGAATTTAGATTTAATTCGGTTTTTTTTTTATGTTTGCTTTTGAGTTTCTCAGATTATAGGTAAGAATTTGACATTCAATATCAACTTATAGTTTTTCAGTTTCAACTTTTATTTTTTCAGTTTCAACTAAGATCTATAAGTTTACACAAATTTGACCCCTTTTTGACAAAACACCTCAAATCTTGCTTATAGGGCGACAAATTGGTTAGGGCCGGCCCTGCTGGGGCCTTTCCTGGCCCCAATAAAATTATCAGATTTTAAATCTGACTTGTCCACACAAGTCAGATTTAAAATCTGATTCTTTTATTGAGGCATAGTGGCTCTGCTTCTCTTTTTTAAGCATATGAGGGCTTTTGGTTATCTGAAAAGGACATCACCTTGTGACGTTACCTGCGTAAACCCCCTTCATGGCTGACTCACACATGAGAAATAACACGCGCGCGCACATGCATAGTGAGCGTAGCTGCGTTTTGAGCGCGTGGAGGAGGAGGAGAAAGAGGAGGAGGAGGAGGAGGAGGAGGAGGGAGCACAGCGGGGCGCGCTGAGCGGCAGACAGCATCAGTACAGCGCAGCAGAGCGCAGCGGAAGGACGCACTGATCTCCAAGGAGAGAAGACATCAGCTCTACTTGCTGAACATTGGCAAAAACCGAAGAAAAGAAAACATAACAGCGATTAAGAAAAGGTTTTTCTGTCCCAGCTGAGAAGAAGTCTGCAAAATTGAGAATTTAGCAAATTTCCTGAAGTCGTTGCGTTTGTTTGGAAACTAGTCAAACAAAGCAGCCAGTTGGAGACGCTGATGCCCAAAGATGAGACCCGGAGGGAGTTTTTTCTGGTCCTCAGGTGGAGCAGAGTCCGGTAGGTTGCGCGTCTCTCGGTCACCTTCTGAAATAATGACTTATGAGAACGTGCGCGTCCTGCCGGCGCGCGTGTGACTGACTGACCGACAGTGTTTCCGAGACAGAAAGAGGTTTGATCTGAGCAGCAGTCAGAATCAGCAGCAGACTCCTCTCCTCTCCTCTCCTCTCCTCAGACCCATGCAGGATGCCCGGGCAGCGCCGCCGGGGAGCGCTGGTCCAGCTCAGACCGAGTTCATGACGCTCCGGGCGGCCTCGTGATGCGTTTGTTGCCCGAGCCCAGCGCCCATTCCCTTTGGCTTCTCTTCCTTTTTATCTTCGTGATGGGGGTGGCCCCCTCTCCGGCACTCACCGCCGGCTGCCCAGACGGATGCGTGTGCGACGACCAGCTGGTGGTCCAGTGCGCGGGGCAGGATCTGACTCTGTTTCCCAGCGACCTGCCCCTGGCGACCCGGCAGCTCATCCTCTCCAACAACCGCATAGGGGACCTACCGGCCCTCCAGCTCAACTACCTGTCCGACCTGGTTTATCTAGATTGTAGCAACAACTCGCTGACAGAAATCTCCGAGTCCACTTTTGGGAACTTGCGGAAACTCGCGTACTTGGACTTGTCCTTTAACACCCTCCTGCAGATCGAGGACCGGACTTTCGGGCCCCTGGTGTCTCTGGTGATGCTCCGGATGACGGACAATCCGAGTCTGGGGGAGATCCACCCGGATGCTTTTTCGGAGAACTTTGCTCTGCAGGTCCTGGATGTGAGCAGGAACAACCTGACGGTGCTGAACATCAGCAGCCTGATCGCCCTGCCGGCGCTGCGCTCCCTGGGCCTCAGTGGGAACCCGTGGAGGTGTGACTGTGACACGGAGGACCTCTGCCTCTGGGTGCAGATAGAGGGATTCAAGTTTCAAGGTGAGGCCAGTAGAAAAGCTGTCAGATCAGGTAGTTTGCAGTCATCATTTTAATTAACACCGCAGGATGAAAGATTTCCTGCACCTTTATTTGGTAAAAATTCTGCTTTTTTTAAAAACAATGACATTTGTTATACTTGTAGGTTAAACGCAAATCTGAAAGACAAATTATCTCTCTGCTTTTCACACCTTAAGTTTCACTTAAATTATTAGTTAATTTAGTTCCTAATGCTGCCAGGAATCTGGGGCCCCATGAAAGACATTGATTTTGCTTTATTATTTATTTAACTGCTGGATTTTCTTTTAATATTTTAAATATCTATTGGGACATACCTTTTCTTCTTTTTTTGGGCTCCACCTCCATCAGGGGCCCTTAGAATTTTCCTAACTTAGATTCTGCCATATGCCAGAGGGATACGGTGCCCGGCTTTACTCTCCAAGTGACCTCCAGTCGGTTTCTAAAGAGATTTACAGAAGAATTTAAGTCATTTTCTCTTTTTTTCAGATCTCAACCACAAACTTTAATGCATTTTACATTAGAAGCTTGTTAGAGACCTTTGTTATAAAAATGACACCATTAGTTTTCCAGGCCCTGGACCCCCAAACTGATGGTGAGATGGAGTAGGAACCCCCTAATTATATATATTGTATGAAATTGTTCTATCAAACTGGTCCTATAGTCACTCTATTACAGATGGAGTAATGTAAAGAAAGTAATTTCTCGCTGGGATTATTAAAGTATTTCTGATTCCTGGTTGATGGGACAGGTGTTGTGAATGAAACGGTGCCCAGCTTGAAAGAGCTCCTGTGT